GTTGCCCTTTGTTCTGGAATGTTGCCATTCAGCACGAAAACATGACAAGTTCCAGAACCTGGGTTGAAAATGTGGGCTTTCATAGTTTGTAAGAATTTTTTTTTTGCTGTTGTTTTTAATGATGGGCCAGAAGTTGCAAAATCTCTCATTAGCCACCTCCCCCCACCCCACCCCACCCCTCCGATTCTGTGGCTTTTTCCTAAGCTGACACAGCACTGGAGGCCAAGCAAGCCTCCTGGCTGGATCACCATGTCCTCATGGCCTGGAAAGTGGGGGTGGGGGACTGCCCGAAAGTGCCACAGTTGCAAGCTGGGGGTCGGAGACAGATCAGGGCTCCCCCAAGGCAATGTCTCAGACATGATTCTCAGTGGGTTTCTGTGACTCAGGACAAGACGTCAGCCCTGCCACAAAACTCTAGGCAATGGTGTCTGTCTGTACCCACCACGCAAGTGCTCCCTGCCTGCTGGGTGAGCACAGCCCCCACCGGGGCAACCTCATAGAGGATGAAGGAGCCAGCTTTCTCACCGTTACACATCCAATGACCATGTGACCTGCAGTCTCCTTTGCACACACATCCACAGACCCACACGCACAACTGGGGCAGGATCTCACACAGTCCGAGCGAGCCTTGACCTCATTACATAGTTGAGGATGACCTTGAATTCCTGATCTCTCGGCTCCGTCTCTAGTACTAGGATTAGGGGTGTGTGTCCTGCTCTAAAGCATTACACGGTACAGCTGGGTCCCTGGCTGGGCCCCACTGTAGGTTCAGAGAAAGGTGCTGTACCAGATGACAAATGTGACCATCACAGCAGAACGTGCCACAAGGCTTGTCTCATGACATAAGGGTGCTTTTAGCATCTCCAGGTGCCTGGTCCCAGGTGGGGTTGGCAGGGGTGTAGTATAGGGCAAGTTGTTTGTAGAAGTATGCAAAAAAAAATGCTCTACAGAGAGTAGGGGTATGCAACTCAGAGGCACAGCACTTGCCCAGAACCCCCAGTGACAAGCTGGGGCGTGGCTCGGTAGTGGCAGGCATACTGTCCTTATACACACAATGCCTTGTTTCATCCCCAGCACAAAAATGACCCAGATATGGTGGTGGTGGTACAACCATAATCCAAGAAACAAGAGGACGGAAGCCAACGTGGGCTACCTCATGAGTTCCAGGCCAGCCAGGCCGACACAGTGAAACCCTGTCTCAAGACAAGAAAGAAAAGGCCGTAATGAAACCACAATGTTGCATACTAAAACAAACAAACAAGCAAACAAAAACAAAACACTAAAGCCAGGTGTGTTGGTGCATGGCTTCAATCCCAGAACTCTAGGAAACAGAGGCAGGCAATCTGAGTTCGAGACCAGCTTGGTCTACAGAGCAAGTTCCAGTCCAGCCAAGGCTACGTTGTGAGACTTTGTCTCAAAAAGAAAAAAAATGCAGTAAAATATTCAGATATGGGGTACCAAATGCATGGATCTTGCAAACACCCAAATACAAAGACTACATGCTGCAGGAGGATTCCATCTGTGAGAAACGTCCAGAGTCGTTCCCCTCCCCTCCCCCCGGAGGTAAGTGGCAGAAAGCTCTGGAGGTTGAAGGCTGGGGCATAACTGCTCATGCACTGAGGATGACAGTGTTCTGGAACTAGATGGTTATGGTGGCCATACAACACTGCCAATGTACTCAATGCCCCTCGTGTGCACTTAGAAATGCTGAATGTTAGGAGGGCTGAGGAGATGGCCCAGCAATCGGTTAAGAAAGCATTGGCTAGCCAGGCGGTGGTGGTGCACGCCTTTAATCCCAGCACTTGGGAGGCAGAGGCAGGTGGATTTCTGAGTTCCAGGCCAGCCTGGTCTACAGAGTGAGTCCCAGGACAGCCAGGGCTACACAGAGAAACCCTGTCTCAAAAAACCAAAAAAAAAAAAAAAAAGAAAAAAAAGGAAAAAAAAAAAGAAAGCACTGGCTGTCCTTCCAGAGGACCTAAGCTCGGTTCCCAGCACCTTCACGGGGTGATTCACAACTACCTATAACCCTAGTTCCGGGATGGGATCTGACACCTCTCTATCCTCCTTGGGTAGTACAGACCCACAGACAGACGAACACAGACACATAAAATAACTAACTAAATAAGTATTTCTGAAAGTAGTACATTTTGGAGCATGAGGATGGCTCAGTGGGTAGAGGCACTTGGCCACCAATCCCGAGAACCTGAAGTCAATCACTTCCTTAGACCCTTCCTTAGATGGAAAGACGGACTCTACAAGTTGTCCTCTGACTTCCACACATGCAGCCTGGCATGTGCATACCCACATACGTGCATGCGAATACCCACATGCATGGATGCATGCACACGCACGTACACACTCAATAAATAGTGATTTTTTTATTTAAAAATAAAAATGATGTATTTTCTCTCTCTCTCTCTCTCTCTCTCTCTCTGTGTGTGTGTGTGTTTGTGTGTGTGTGTGTTCTACTTTTTCAAGAAAAGACAAGACAAAAACAGCATGACTGAATGCCCTGTACTCAGGACCTCCTCGTGTGGCTGCCCTTGTCTGCTCTGTTGCTGGCGGGGGACTCTGTTGGGGACATCATAAGATGCCCTGTGTCCCCTAGCTGAAGGACCTCTCCCTAAAGTGAAATGATGGCATTCTGAGGTTTCCCATCCTGAAGAGCCATCCAGTTATCAACCCCTTGACTGACGTGGGCTCTGCACATCTGGGATTCATCAAATGCACTGAGTTTTTTTTTTTTTTTTTAAAGCTTCTAATTCCGAGAGCAGCAGACATGGAGGCACCTCCCCTACTCACAAATTACACTGGTGACAGAAAAGAGCCTCGAGCCAGCTCCCACAAGGCCAAGGTCAGCACCAGGGTCCTGCCTACAGACACTCCGGTGGAGTACACGCAAGCCAGATGCTATATGGGGAAGGGGGGGGGGGGGCTTTGAAAGGTCTCAAGATCATCATTCCCCGCCCAGGTCCCTCCCCCTGCAGACCAACCCCGCCTCTCACTGACCCAGGTTACCAGGCAAAGGCCAATAACAGACTGAATCCTGGTGAAGAGTCCTGTCAGCACAGCTCCTTCTTGCCCTACACTGCACCGCCCCCCCCCCCCCACTCCCGGGGGGGGGCCCCCCCGGGGAGGTGCCAAAAGCACCTTTATGTCACGAGACAAGCCTTGTGGCACACTCTGCTGTGATGGTCACATTTGTCATCTGGTACAGTACCTTTCTCTGAACCTACAGTGGGGCCCAGCCAGGGACCCAGCTGCTTTGTGTTCTGCACGTGTGTGCACTTTGAGCATCCGTGGATGGAGAATGTCATCTCACAGGGCACTTGAGAGATGGCTATGGGGCCAGCCCTGGACATAGCTGGCCATAAGATGCTCCAGAGAAGTGTCAGGTGCCAGCCAGCCTTACTGCAACTGTCACTGCTGTTCTGTGTAAGAACCAATGCCCCACTCTTCATTTCCCCTCTCTGGGAGCCTTGTCCAGACGTTTGTCCTGGACTCCTTAGATGAAGCTCCCCCTCCCCCCGTGAAGGTCAGGTTGAAGGCAGAGGCAGAAGTGGACAGATAGCTGTCTTTAAATAGTCAGAACCAACAAGTCGTGGGTTTTAGAGTCAGGAGCCAGGCCCACCTACGGTGGTAAGATCACAAGCCACTCTCTGCTTCCAATCCAGATTCAGGACACTGAGCTAGGACTGACCCAGGTCCCCTGGCACAGCTCCCAGGGCAAGCAATATAGCCCCACACCTGCTGTTCCTCCTGGGGGGTGAGGTGGGGACAGTGGCAGATGCAGGATGCCAGATGCATGCTGTACATCCCTGTCCGTTTGGGGCAGGTGGCATGGTTCAGCCTTGTTCTGCAGGGCTGTCAGACTCCAGACCTGATGTGTGGAGTGTAGGATCATCTAGAGAAGGCAGGACTACCCTACTTGACCAGGGCAAGGAGCCCCAGGGCTAACAGTGGACATTTCCAACCCACTCTTGGCTCTGGGAAAGCCAGGCAACCAGACAACCTCTCACACAGGCTTAGTCACCCTAGCAACTCACCTTTCCCTGGAAAGATGGCCAGCTCAAATTGTACTGCAGCAGCAGGCATCTGAGGCGGAGTCTGAACTCCAAAAGAGCTGGCTTGGCTTTCCTCCTCTGAGGTCTATACTCCTGACAGACAGGAGGACTGATTCAAGATGCCCATTCTAGGAAAAGACCCTGTAATGTGGTCCCTAAACCATTCTCTAGAAGGATTGCCTGTAATCCCAACACGCAGGAAACTGAGACGGAAGGATTCCTATGTGTTAGAGCCCAGACTGTGCTACATCTGGCCACATCTGTGTGAAGCTTAGGAGGCAGTCAGAGGGAGGTTCCAGACCTGTCTCTGCTGGTACAGCTCACGTTACCTCTCTGACCCTCCGTTCTTTCTTCTGAAATAGAATTAGAAGACCTCCTCACCACAAGTCTGTTGCCAATGAAACTTAAAGGGGGCGTGGCTCTGTCATCTGGGACCAAAGGCACTTATCTGCCCTTGTGATCACCTGGACCTCATCCTCACAGAGTGAAACACCCGTCTAACGCAACCATGCCATCAGCGAGCCAGTTATCGACGCCCACTGACAACACACTACCGACCCAAACAGTGGCAAATTGCACTGGGTGGGCAAAAGAGCGCGCGCGGCCTCAGGGAAGCGCGAAGCTGCTTATAGCCAGGCTAGGGATCCCATCTCCAACTCGGCTTCCTAACCGTGAGTCAGTCCCGGGCAAAAAGCTTCGTAGCTGAACCTCAATTTCTTCATCGGAAAAGGACTTTGCAGGTTAAGAGCTCGGCAGAACGGAGGCACACAGCCCTGAAGCATCGCGTCTGACTTAGTCAGGGCAAGAGCGTCAAAAAAAGGACAGAAAGAGGGGACGTCGCAGCCGAAGCAGTAGGGTGGCTAAGAGTTCGGGAACAGCCTAGGCTAGGCGAAGAGACCTACAGACAAAAGAGCAGCGGGACTGAGTCCCTCTCACCTGCGCGGAACTCTGGAACCTGGGGAGCGCTGGGCAAGCAAATTCCGGCTCCGGGACCCTGCGGATGCTGGGCGCTGCGAGTGGGTCCCGGACTTGAGCGCGGCCCCTAGTAGCCTCCTGGAGCATCCTGAGCCACGCCCCCAAGTCCACAAGCAGCGCTGATTGGGCTACGAGGCGCCGGCCCCGCCTCTCCCCGCCCCGCTGTTTTCGGGCGGGAGGAGGCACTGAGGACCACGATGCGCAAGGAGCGCGCGGCCCCTAGCCGTGACCATAAAAGTAGTTTTCATTGAGCGCTTTCTGCGCACAGCAGGCTGGGCACTCTCGGACAGTCCGTGGCCCGCGGACCCCACCCCGTTCTACTACTTAAGTGAAGGACAGGATAACAGACCATTGGGAAGGGCCTGCCGAACCCGGGTGTGCGCATTTATCTGCCAGGACCTGTTTCCAGACTAGGAGGATCTCAGGGGGTTCCCAGTAATCCAGGGAGGAGGCAACGTCCCACTTCTGTGGCGAGGTTATCCCGCCACCTCAAGAACCCCAGGGCGAGGTTCCAGTAAGCTTAGTACCATGTGCCCCAGGGCATTTGGCACCTACCTGGAGAAAATATCCTGAGGTTAGAATCCGGGAAATGTCTTTAGGTAAGGTTGACGCCCAAACCCTTAAGGGCAAGTGAGGGAATGGGCGGGAAGAGCTAAGAGACATCCCAGAACACTCTCGGTCACATAAAGTAGGGCTGGAGAAGACCACCCATCCACTAAGAGACAAGTAAGGCCTCCTACTGGTATTAGTAGGAGATATTTCCACAAATACTACCAGGAGCAGATGCAAGGGAGCCCGCTGGGGTCCTCAGGGGCCTAGACATGTTGGGGAACCTGGATTCCAACCAGAGATCTTTACCCAAGTCCTTGACTCAGCTCTGTGCAGATAAAGATTCCGATATGTTAATATCTTTGTTTTTAAGTCCCCTTCCTTCCTGCCCTCAGTTTTGGAAGCACCGTCCACCGACCTACACTCCCTTGCTACACGCCCGAGCTGTCTTCCAAGTACCAGAGAAGTCAGTGCTTATTAGCAGCAGCCCTAGGGGTGACCCAGGACAAGGCCAATGAGGGCGGCACTGTGCTGCTCTCTGGTGCTGATGATCTGACTTGAGCACCCTCAGACGCTACTGCTGCAGCTGGCTGCCAGCATCCCCATTCTCCTCAGTGAAGGGACTGACCAACACAGAGATTCCTGCATGCGTCTCTGAATCACAGGTCTCCAAAGTGCCCGTGCCCACTCTGTTGCCAATGCCCGTGACCATTAAGCCTTAAATGCGAAACTGGATAAACTGGGCCCTAGTTCCATACCCACCCAGGAACGGGAAGCGATGAGGGACAGAGTTTTTCTGGGACCCAACATTTGGCCAGGAGTGGCTTGTCAGTAATAAGAAGTCCCAGGCTCTGGGTGGCCCCACCACACCGCCCTACTGAAGCTTTTCATAGCAACCTTGCAAAGCTCCTTGCTGGCACAGTGTGACTCTTAGACACCCCTCCCCACCAAAGCATTCTACATGCCTGTCATCATCAGGTCAAATCAGCATGCCAAATCTCCCTCAGCCTGGCCATCCCTAACCCCAGCTCCAGAACCTCCAGCTCTCCTTCCTGCTGTTCCTCAGTTTCCGCTTTCCCTTCCCCTCTGTGGCCTTCTCTTCTAACCTGCCCCATTTCTCCTTCACCAAAAACCATTTCTGCGTGTCAGGAGCTATTCACAAGAACTTCAAGGGCATCTTCTGGTCAGCTTCTCACAGCCTGATGGAAAGGGGACTCTGCTTACAGACGTGGACATTGGGTACAGGCAGGTGAAGGTACTTGTCCAGGGTCACCTGGTTGTCCATTGGTGAGACTGTGACTCCAACCCAGACAGCCTGTGCTGGAGCTCCTACTATCTCTTCATGTATCTTGCCAAGATTACAACTACATTGAGACCTAATTACCCAGAGAAGATATGGTGGGGGTGGGGAAAGCAAGTTGAGATGCAGTGAGATCCCCAGGACTGTAAAGAGGGCCCGAGAGCCCCTTCCCCCCTCCCCCTGAAAACACAGGGAAAGGCCATCTGTGAGCTGAGCAGGGAAGTTGCCTTTGACAGCCTCACTGCCAGAGCTCCACTGTATATAACCCGTATCTTGACCCGGCAGCCCAGATAGACCAGGACAGCCTGTCACCTTGGCCTCTAAGTCATGTGACAAGCAGATTAGAGTGTTTGTATTTACACAAGATGAACACATCGGATACTTTGGAACTATTTCATTCCTTGTTGATACATCGGGGAAGTGAAACGAATTTCTAAAGTGGAATGTCACAGTTAGTACTGCTGTGTAACAAATTGTCCTGTGGTATAGCGGCTTGTAGGGAGATGATCCAGTTGCATAGTGGTTAGTTAGTGCTAATGACATATGTGTGTGTATTCATATGTACCTGTTTTGATACTCTATATTATAATTATGACACACACACACACACACACATGAGACATCTTTAAAAGCATCCATTTTTGGGGGTCTATAATGCACTAGATGAGGGAATCTGGAAAGGTGTGATTAGTTCCTTCCTTAGGGCCCCTCGTTGGCTGCAGTCAGCTGTTGACTGGGGCTAGACACTGAGAGTAGTGTTTGATATTGGCTGTAGTGGGGAGGGACCCCAGCTGGGTTGCTGGCTGTCGTGGCCCCAACCTTTCCAGTGGACAATGACAGGTGGTCAGACACGTGGCACGTAGCTGTCCCTAAAACACGCATCCTTGAGAGCCAGGTGCCCTGGCAGGGCCTTGGATGACCTGGTGTTGGAGGAATGCCTCATCTGTCGCTAAAACCACAGAGGCTAAACAGCTTCATGGAGATGGGCACAGGGCACAGCCCTATGCAAGTGGAAATGAAGGAAATGAAGAAGTCTTTAAAAAAGAAAAAAAAAGTCCACAGATGACCAGACGCCATACAGCTGCTCCATTAAAAACAAGGTGTTGGTCCTAGGGGCTGAGCACCTAACCTAGTGATGAGCACCTAACCTAGTGATGAGCACCT